TGCCTGTGTTAATTGGAGCTGTTCGCTGCAAAGTGTTCACTTATTGATTTCTCTCCCCACCGCATGCTTCTGGCCGCTTATCAAGCCAGCCAGGGCTCGCTGGCTGCACAGGCCCCTGCAGAAGGCCCTGCTGATGGCGAGCCAGCCTTGCCGGCTGTCCTTGCGGGGCCAGGCTGGCCCTCCGACGGCCAGGTCAGGGCACAAAGGACAGGACAAGCCGCTGGGCTGTGGGGCAGCGGTTCCTGGAGCGGCCGGGGGCCGGCATTGCTCTGCTTCCCACACACCAGCCAGAGAGGCTTGAAAAGGCAGAAGGGAGGCCACGTCCCTCCCTGCTTCTGGCCCTGGTGGCTTCCCAGAGCTTCTGAAATAAGCCCCAAGCCCCTCTTGGCCGGCCCTGCCCACCGCTGCCCCTCGTCCACTCCTGCCAGCCCCTCGCTCTCCTGCCCCCCTGTGCAGACCGCCCTTTTGCTCCACCAGCTCTCCTCGCCCGGCTGCTTCTCTGAGCCCTGGCCCCAGTCCCTGACTGTCCTCAGAAAAGCCATCCTTGCCCATCCTGCTCCGGGCCCCTCCTGGAGAGCTCAGCACTCCTGCCACCACCACCTGAAAACAAGCACCAGGAGGCAGGGCCATTGCCCCAGCTCCCAGAACAGGGCCCGGCCCGTGGGGCACCTCGTAAACACTCCTGGATGGCCAGAGGACACCCTGGTTCCTGCGGGCTCCATGGGGTCAACGAGGCTCCCAGGTCCTCCGTGTGCCCTGCACCCTGGCAGGCAGGCCAGGGTCTCAGCACTGGCCCTTTCCTGTCCCCTCCCAGAGCTGGACCCCGAGAGTGAGCTCAGCAAGAACCTCAGCCTGATCCCCTACAGCCTGGTGCATGCCTTTCACTGTGAGCGCCGCCGGCCCGTCCTCTTCACGCCCACCATGCTGGCCAAGGCGCTGGTCCAGAAGCTGCTCAACTCGGGGGGCGCGATGGAGTTTACCATGTGCAAGCCAGGTGAGTGCACCTCACCAGCGGGACAGGAGAGCGGACGGAAGGGCCATGCTCCCTCCTGGCCCTGTGTGCGCGGGGAGGGAGGGTCACGGTCCCTCGCGCCATGGCAGCCCTCTCAGAGTTCACCGTGGCCCCAGACCAGGGAACGCTGGCCTCCCCTTCACCATTCACACCGAGGGTCCGGGACCAAGGGCACAGGGTCAGTTAGGAGATGTGACTTGGGGTGCTCACTCCAGGCCCTTAGGTAAGAGGCAAGCCACCCATCATGGAGGGCAAGCCTCCATGTCCTCGATGTGGCTAGGGGACCATGGTCGTACACCCTGCACACAGAGGGCTGAGCCCCAATCCTGCTGCAAGCTAGAATCATCTTCAGCATCGTCTGTATTTAAATCGTGGACGTCCAGGGCTGCCCATACCAACCAAATGTCAGGTGCCCAGCCGGGGGGAGGCGGGGAGGTTGTTATAATAAGATACACATGACATAAAATTTACCGCCTTAATCTAAGTGTCCAGTTCAGGGGTATTAAGTACATGTACCTCCAGAACTTTTTCATCTTCCCAAACTGAAACTCTGTCCCCATTAAACACTCACTCCCCACCCCCAGCCCCTGGTGCCCACCATTTACTGTCTGTCTCTGTGGATCTGACTTCTCTGTGGGCCTCACGTAAGGGGAGCCATCCAGTGTCTGTCACTTGGCCTCTGGGTTGTCACTCAGCATCATGTTCTCAAGGTCCATCCCTCTGGTAATAGCAGGTATCAGCATGTCCTTCCTTGGTAAGGCCGAGGGATATTCCACGGTGTGGATGAGCCACCTCGTGTCTGTCCATCATCCACCGATGGACACGCAGGGTGCTTCCACCTCTCGGCTGCCGGGAATCATGCTGCCATGAACGTGGGCGAGCAAGCACCTCTTCAAGTCCCTGCTTCCGGTTTTTTCGGGGAGAGACCCAGCAGTGAGATTGCTGGCTCACGTGGTGATTTTAATTTTAAACTGCCACACTCATCTGCACAGCAGCTATACCGTTCCATCTTCCCCCCGAGCACACACAAGGGTCCTGGTTTCTCCCCGACCTCACCAACACTGGTCATTTGCCTTAACAGTAGTCATCCTAGTGGATGTGACGTGGAAGTGTCAAGGTTTTGAGTTCATCCTCTGAGGTGCAATTTACATACAGCAACACGCCCCTATTTCAAGTGTGCAGTTGAATGAGTTTGGGCAGGTGTCTGTACCCCGTGACCCCAGCCACGACCAGGAGACAGAACATTGCATCCCTTTCAGGCACCCCTCCACCCCCTGCCCCAGGCACTAATGATCTGCTTCCCATCACACATTGGTTTGCATTTTCTAGACTTTTCTACAAACGGAACCGTGCAGTGTAGAATCACTTGTACCTGGCTCCTTTTGCCCCACGTATTTTTGAGATCCATCCATGCGTTTGCTCCTACTGTGGCAGAGTGGCGTCCCCGCGAGCCGGGCAACTGTATCCACCTGTCAGGAATCCCTTATGCAAAGCTCTCCCAGAGGTTCTCCTGTGGGGCCAGGGCTGAGAGCACTCAGAACAGTCCCTGGCCGGGATCCAGACTTCCTGAGCATTCACTCCTGCTTTCGCTGCCTGCGTTTATCAGTAAGCCCTAACGTTACAATGGGACGGCACCTGAGCAGGAGCAGACCCACCTGCTGATTCCTGGGAGGCAGCTCCGCGCGCAGCCTTCTCCTGCATGCTGACGCCGATGCACCCGAGGTCTCCCGGGATGCCCGGCTCAGTGGGAAGTGAAAGGCCGCACCCCCAGTGTCCCTCCTTCCATGCTTAAGACCCTCTACGGCCCCTGGCCTAGAGGGCCTTTGCAAACAGTGTGGTTGGTGGGAAAGATCATGTTATTTGAGGCGAGTGGTCTCCAGGTTAGGTTCTGCCCCTGCCCACCCCTCCCCAGCTGTTTATCTGGAGCAAGTTATCAACCTCTCTGTTTCTTCACCTTCAAAACCAGGACAATAACGGTCACTTCTCCTAGAAGTTAGAGGCTCATGGATGGCCAGAGGCTACCCTGGGGCCAAGCTCAGCGTGGGTTCCAGGTTCTCAGCCCCCCACGTGGATCAGGAAGGGCGCAGACGTGGGTCCCACAGCTTGCTGAGCGCCAGGTCCCACAGCCACCGCGGCACCCCCTTCCTATCTCAACAGAGTCCGCATGCCTCCACGGCCCTCCCAAGCCCAGCTTCAGGTGCAGGAATCTTTCAAGGGTGTGCACCCCCATGCTCTTCCTCTGCCCGACTATCTGGGAGCCTCACACACCCTGCAGGGAGGCTCTGGGTAGAGGACCTCGCTCCCGCCTGAGCCTCCAAGCATGTTTCAGTTGGCTCCCTGGTGATATGAGGTTAGGTAGAAAGCCTGATTTAGAAATCCCACTTAGCCACTCTGAACTCTGCAAACATGCTCTGTCTTCCCCTTGGTTCATTCACAGCCAGGGAGCTGTAGACACTGTAGGGTGGGCGTTCTAGGCTGCCTCCCTCCCCCGAAACCACCCGCAGCTCCTCCCCTGCTGGCTGCCCCCCAGATCCCTTCCCACTCACTTCCAGTGCACAGTGTAGTGTACATGCCAAACCTGGGGGCTAGTGTGGGCTCCCCCAGCCAGCCTGGGCCTAAGCAGGGAATTCCAGTCCTGGACTGACTCCACTCTCCTCCTTTCATAAATGGAAAACCTGAGATCAAGAGATTAAAGATGTGTTCAGGGTCACCCAGCAAGTGAATGGGGCCTCCAGTACATACCTCCTCCTCCAGGAAGCTTGCCTGTTCCCCTGTTCCCTCCACATCTCCTCACTTTGCTGCCACAATAAATAGCCCAGCACTGCACCTACTAAATGGTTTCATAGTTTACTGTATATTACATTCTTCTTCTCAGCTACATCATAGGTTCTCAAGTACAACGACAGCTATGTTTTTATCATATTTTTATTCTAATGACTGATCCTTAGTAGATTTCCAGTAAATGTTAAATTTTAATAAAAACTTAGTGGAATGGTGGGATCTTGGGTAGATGGATGAATGGATGGGTAGGTGGATGAGTAGATAGGCAGATGAATGGGTGTATTGGTGGATGGGTAGATGAATGGACGGGTGGATGGATGGATAGATACGTAGGTGGATGGGTGGATAGATAGGTAGGTGGATGGATGGATGGGTGGTTAGATGGATGGGTAGGTGGATGGGTAGAGGGAGGGATGGATGGTTGGATGGATGGATGGTTGGATGGGTGAGTGAGTGGGTGGTTGGATGAATGGGTGGGTGGGTGGATGGTTGGTTGGTTAGATGGGTGGATGGATGAATGGATGGATGGATGGATGGATGAGTAGATGAATGGTTGGGTGGATAGGTAATAGGTGGATGGATGGATGGTTGCATGGGTGGATGGGTAGATGAATGGATGGGTGGGTGAGTGGATGGGTGGATAGATGGATAGGTGGATGGATGGGTGAATGGTTGGATGAGTGGAGGGATGGGTGGGTGGATAGATGGATGGATGGAGGGATGAATGTATGGATGGATAGGTAGATGGATGGGTGGATGGATGAATGGTTGGATGAGTGGATGGATGGATGGGTAGATGGATGGATGGAGGGATGAATGTATGGATGGTTGGATGGATGGATGGATGGTTGGTTGGATGGATGGATGGTTGCCTGGGTGGATGGATGAATGGTTGAATGGGTGGGTGGGTGGATGGATGAGTAGATGAATGGATAGGTGGATAGGTGATGGATGGATGGATGGATGGTTGCATGGGTGGATGAGTAGATGAATGGATGGATGGGTGAGTGGATGGTTGGGTGGATGTGTGGCTAGATAGGTAGATGGATGGGTGGATTAATGGATGGATGGATGGATGGTTAGATGGATGATGGGTAGGTGGGCAGGTGGGTTGATGGATGGTTGGATGGATGGTTGGTTGGATGGGTGGGTGGATGGATGGATGGATGGATGGATGATTGCATGGGTGGATGGATGGATGGTTGCATGGGTGGATGGATGAATGGTTGCATGGGTGGATGGTTGGTTGGTTGATGGGTGGGTGAGTGGGTGGGTGGGTGGGTGGGTGGACAGTTGTCTATGCTTCATGATAGACAACTCACCAGTATTGCACCTCAGTGCCTGAGCTACTTTGTCCAGTGAAACTTAATGCTGAGAATTTACCAACCAGCTCTTCTGTGGGCTGCTGTGGGAAGTGTAAAGAAGTGTGACCTTGACCCTGCCATTGAGAAGCCTCACAGTCTAGTAGAGGAGCTAGGATTCATTTAAATGTGGCCATAAGGGAATCAACATGGAGTTCTGTTCAGCCCAGAAAGGGGAGGTTTGTGCTGCCCTCAGGACTGGCCCTCTGTCTGCAGATGTTGTCACCAGAGACGAGTTCCTCAGGAAGCAGAAGATGGAGACCATCATCTACTCCCGAGAGAAGAACCCCAACACTTTCGAATGCATTGTTCCCGCCAACATTGAAGCTGTGGCCGCCAAGGTGAGGTGGGGGTTGGGGGCTGGATGGGGTGATACCACTGGTTATCTTTGTGAGGCAGCCTCAGCCATGGACAAGGGTGGGGTGCAGAGCTGCTCTCACCTCCCTGTGGGCAAACCACCTCGTTTTCCTTTCGTCTTCTGCTCCATGTTCCCTCTCCACACACCCTTGTTCTCTGGGGTCCGACATGCACGTTGATAGTTTGAAACCAACTTCTATTTCTGATGGCTCCTGGCACTGGCATCGCCGATTCACATCGTCCAGGGCCATACATGTGCCTGACTGTGAGAACAAGGGCCAGAGACACAGGGAGCCTGGGTCAGGGCGAGAGACAAGGAGAACAAATGGGTGCCAGGAGTCCTGTTCACCTCAGGAGGGAAATTGGCAGCAATGCAGGAGAGGTGTCTGCATGTGTTCTAGAATCTTCTGGAGCCAGACAACATGGTCCTTATCGGCCCCAAGCATTGAGTTCTTGTCTGCACACTTGGTTCCACAGGGTTGTGCACAGCGGTGGGCGCTGCCAGAGCCCAGGCATCGAGCCCGGTCCTTCTGGGACCTTTCCAAAGCAAAGGTATCCGTTGAGCACTGCCCCAGCACCTGAGGGGTCAGCTCTGCAGTGGATGGTGACCTCGGGTGGGGGGGGTGAGCAGGTGCCGACGGGAGCTCCGCATCTGCCACCTGGCACGTGCCACCCCCCCCCAACATTGTCACTCACACAGATGAAAGCATGGGCAGAGCCATCCAGCCTGGAACTGTTTATTTGGTTTTAAAGTCTGGGTCACAGCAGTTTAGGGAATTCTGACATTGGAGCGGATAGGACGTGAGTGGGCAGGGTCGGAGCCAAGATGATTGTCCCTGGAAAGGTGAGGCTGCCCAGCGGATGGCTCGGGGGTGTTATGAGTCTGGGCAGTGGCCACACGGGCAGAGAGTGAGGGCAGTGACCAGAAGGAGCACGGGGGTGGGGGCAGGTTCGGGTTGTGAAAATTCACTCATGCACGCTTAGGAACACACACACTTTCCTCTACTAGTGTTCTGTTTCAGGGCAGAGGGTTGGGGCTTCTGGGGGTTTGTTTGTTTTTGAAGTGACACTTTCAGCAACACAGAGATTGTCCTTCAGAAGCGATGAGCTCCTGGGTGCCGGGGAATCATGCCTGAGAACCCTTGCAGATGCTCCCAGGACCATCCAGCCCCACCTCACCCTTCGGGTGTTTTCCACCCTTGATAGTACCACAAATGTCTTCGTAAGCTGAGGGGAGTAGCAGGTGTTCCCGAAGCTGATTTTGCTTTTCATTAAAACTCACTCATGCTGCCTGCCTCACCTCGGGCTCGATGCCGGGGCTCTGGCAGCGCCCACCGCTGTGCACAAGCCTGTGGAACCAAGTGTGCAGACAAGCAGGGGTCGGGCTTCACCCTGGGTTTCTCCCTGCTGCAGCTGGGAGCACTCGGGGCTCTCGCCCCTACCCTGTCCCATGGAGCCTGATCCTGCACCCCGGGCCCCACCCCAGCTACCCAGAGGGGGCTACTGACCGCCGGCTGCTGTGCTTGCAGGACAAACACTGTCTGCTGGAGGCTGGAATCAGCTGCACCAGAGACTTGATCAAGTCCGGGATCTACCCCATCGTGCTCTTCATTCGGGTGTCGGAGAAGAACATCAAGAGGTTCAGGTAGGACTCTGAGAACCCTCTCCAGGGGCCTCTGGCACCCCCTCCCTCCCTGCCACACCTCTGCTTGATCCCCCTGCTCACCCCTTTAGGGGATCATCGCTGAGAGCCCGGCTGCAGCCCAGGGCAGACATGACCCCCGGCCTGTAGCGGTGGAGACAGTAACCCACACACACACAGCACGTCCGGGGGGGACGAGGGCCGGGAAGCATGGCTGCAGGACCCAGGCGGCTGGGGAAGGGAAGCTGACTCTGGGGCAGCCCCAGTGCAGTGAGGGCGGCCGGGCAGGTGCTCAGGGAGAAGGGCGCAGACCTCGAGGCGGTGACAGCTGCAGGAGGCCGTGTGGGGCGCAGCGCGGGGAGAGCGACCTGCAGCCGAGGGGTCCGGACCACGCCGAGTGACGTGATCTAACAGGACGTAAAAGGCTCCCTCCAGCTGCTGTGTGGAGACGGGGGTTAGGACCACCCGGGCAAGAGCTGGGACCCGGATCCTACCTGGCGGGTGGTGAGGAAAGGTCTGAATCCATGTTCAAGGTGGAGCCGGTGGTATTTGTTGCAGGGTTGTCTATGGGGTTTGGGGCCTGGCCGTTACGTGGCGCTATCCCTGACCCTACCCATCCTTCACACGCTGCCAGTGAGAGGGGAGGGGAGGCCACTTGCCCCTTCCACCAGATCTTTACTGAACACCTGTTAAGTGCCTGGCCACGGGGAGCCCATGAAAGAGCACACAAGACAAAAGTCCCCAGCTCGCTACTGCACACACGTTCTGCTGTCTGGAAGCCAGAAGTGGCCACGGGTTGGCGAGCACGGGGAGAAGCCTGGCGCACTGCGGGCGGGAACGTGAGCTTGCGCAGCCGCCGTGGAAGACAGTGGCTCGGAGGGTCTTCACAGAAGGACCGTGTGACCCAGCGGTCCCACTCCAGGGCATCTGCCCGGAAGAATCCAAAGCGCCGTCTCAACAAGATCACTGCTCACCCACGTTCACGGCCGTGTTATTCCCAAGAGTCAAAAGGCGGAAGCAGCCCAGGTGGCCGTCGATGGATGGATACACAGAATGTGGTCCATGACTCAGCCTTAGAAAGGAAGGACGTTCTGACACCTGAGACCACCTTGAAGACACGAGGCTCCACGAAATCAGCCACGCACAAAAGGACAGATACTGCACAAATCAGCTTACATCACGCCCCTGGACGATTCACAGATGGGTAGACGGTGGTGCCAGGGGCCGGGGAGGGTGAGCAGGGAATTAGAGCGTTCATGGGTATGTCTCAGTTTCGCGGGATGGAAAAAGTTCTGGAGATGGGAGGCACGGTGATGTGGATAAACTTAACACCCCTGAACTGTACTCGAAGAAATGGTCAGGATGGAAACATGGACGTGCATGCCACCACGACTAAGTAAGACTAAGGAGTGTCACAGCTCCCCTGCTCAACCAACCAACCAGCTCTGAAAATGGAAGAATTGCTTTTTCAAAGTAAACTAAAGGAAATAAAAATAAAAGATATTTTTTTACACCCCACCTCTTGGGATCTCCACAAGGACGAGAGTAACGGGGCCCGCGGCATGGCCGTGTGCTGGGAGGCGGCAGGTGGTGGCCGTGGGGTGGGCGGGGGGTCTGGCTGCACAGCGCCCCCCACCCCCACCCCCACGCGTGGGCAGACGGCAGTCCCCCGGCCGGGCTCGCACGCAGTTCCCACGGTGCTCTGTGTCCCCCGCCCACCCACCGCCCTCTGCCCACAGGAAGATGCTGCCACGGCCCGAGACGGAGGAGGAATTTCTGCGGTTGTGCCGGCTGAAGGAGAAGGAGCTAGAAGCCTTACCCTGCCTGTACTCCACAGTGGAAGCCGACATGTGGGGCAGCGTGGAGGAGCTGCTCCGTGTCCTCAAAGACAAGATCAGCGAGGAGCAGCGCAAGACCGTCTGGGTGGATGAGGACCAGCTGTGAGCGGGCCCCTGGAGTCTGAGCGCAGCTCCCAGGGGTGTCCGGACCCCAGCGGGCAGTGCCGTGGGGGCAAGGGGGCTCCGTCCACCCCGTTACGGGGACCCCCAGCCCCAGAGAGCCCCGGGGCAGATGCAGCTGCAGGGACAGACACTCTCCAATGGAAACGGGACGGGTGTGTGCCCCGCCAACCCCCGGGGCTGACCTGGCCGAGGGGTCCCACCCCATGGCACCAGCAGGGAGGCAGGGCCCCCCAAAGGACATGACGCCAGGCCGGAGGCCAGTGGCCCCTCGGAAGTCAGAGCAGCAGATGAATGTAACGCATGGAGCAGGTGTGCTTCCTGTAGGGCAGGGACCCAGAATATGCCAGGGCCCCTGCCAGCCCTCGGGACACACCAGATACACATTTCCCAGGCAGGGCAGTTAGGGTGGAATGGGAAACGTGCCATGCTATTATTTTTCTTGCATTAAAATCTCTCCATTTCCTTGTTTTCAACCTTTTTAAAAATTATTATTTCATTGCTGGCAGAGGTGTTCAACCCTTGCCCCCTCTGTAACCTGCAAACCACTTCTGCAAAGCTGAGGTCAGGCCCCATGTTGGGTTCAGGCAGGGAGACCGGACATCCCAGTCTACCCAGGACACACCTGATTTGTACCTGGGCTTTGGGCGGGATGACTAACAGCCCCTCTTTGACTAACATACGTCCTGATTTGGGTGACGAGTTATCAAGTCACTCTGGGAAGGGCCCGTCCTTCCATAGGCTGCTTGGGAGGTTGCCCCACCCCCCCGACTCCAGCCCTGAGCCCAGAGCCCCTTACTCTGCTCTCCCTACACAGGCTCTCTGCTTCTCTGCACGTCACGTTCATACACGCAGCCTCACTTCCTCTTCCCATTCAGCATGAGGGGTATGGGTCTCGATGGGGTTTGCTCCCACTGCCCAGGGGAGTGTGTGTGCAGGAGAGCTGTGCTTCCCTCCACAGCAGACAGCAAAGGCCCTGTGGGTTCTAGAGCCATTCGCCTCCTTGACCCCTTCCTGCAGACTTTCCAAGTATGGACCCGACCGGGCGTGGCCAAAACCAGGCCACATCCAGCCTGGCACCACGCTGAGTATTCATCATCCGGGTAGGTGGCAGGCTGGGCTTCCATCCCAGGTCTGTGTGTTCATGAGAACTGTGGGAGAAACTGCTGGTTGACAACCCAGTCTCCACACTCCCTTCCTTACTAACAGAATTCTGTTTTTAGTCTGGGAAATTGTGTACAGCTAAGAGACCATATATCCCAGCCTCCCTTGCAGCTAGGGAGGAATCAGGGAAATGTAAGGCAACAAGGTTTGGAGGAAAGACAAAGCAGACAAACAGCCCTTCCTCTAGTTTCCTGCCTGGACTACAGATGTGATGGCTGGAGCTCCAGCAGTCATCTTGGATCTTGAGGTGACCTTGTGAATGGAAACTCTGCTCAGAGAGTGGTGAAAAAAGAGAAAAGGAGTCTGAGTCACTGATGGCACTTTGGAGCCCAGGATTACTGCTTGGGTTTTGTTTACATGGGACAGAAGTAAATTTTTATCTTGTGTTCAATGGCGGTTATTTCAGTCCTTGGTTTCTTACAGCTTAAAGCAATTCCTAACAGATACAGGAACAACCCCTGGTCTTAAATACCATGGGCATGCATTGATCTGCTAGGTTTTGGCCGCATATTCAAGATACGAATTACGAATAAAAGAACTTTTTTTTTTTAAAGATTTTATTTATTTATTTTGACAGCTAGAGAGACAGCTAGAGAGGGAACACAAGCAGGGAGAGTGGGAGAGAGAGAAGCAGGCTTCCCGAGAAGCAGAGAGCCCGACGCGGGGCTCGATCCCAGGACCCTGGGCCCATGACCTGAGCCGAAGGCAGACACTTAACAACTGAGCCACCCAGGCGCCCCTAAAAGAGCGTTTGATAAATATCTCAGTCTAAAAAAACAACACTGTGCATCCTGCAGGATTTTTTTTTTTTTTAGCATTTTGACCCTTAGAAGTCAAATGAGCACTGCAAAGCCCAGAGAGGTTCAAGTGGTGGGATGGGGGGTGTCCGAGGCAGGGGGCCTGGTCCCCTCATCCCTCTGTGATGATGATTCGTCTCTGTACCACCAAGATCCGAGTCTGCCAGGGAGAGCGATGCCTTAAAAAAAAAAAAAAAAAAAAAAGCATTCCCCAAGGGCCAGTTAGTGAGGCTTTTTTTCCCCCTGAAACAGCCCCCAGACTCAAGCTGGATGCACTGGGCCGGGAGAGGCTGTGCTTCTGGAGGCCCCACTGTGGTTATTTAGGGCCAAAGAAGCCGCCTGCCTCGTGAGGAGCTGCGGGAGCTGGAAGGTCTTCTGCTTCCGTCTTGCTGGAGCTGTGCGTTGAACAGTAAATTTTCCCCAAACCGAGGTGATCGTGTTTCCACTCAGACTCCGTGCTGCCTCGCAAAGTACTTCTAAGGACGGACGTGACTGAAGAGGGTCCCGGAGTAAAAGGTCTGCTGATTTATTTGTATTTATCTAACTTCAGATGCTCAGGCTTGTGCAGAATAACGAAACTCGCAGCTTGCATGTCATTTGGGGGGTAGGAGGAGACAGGGGTGAAGAGACAACACAAATGGGGAACGATACCTGAAAAAATGTGGTGGGTTCTTGTCTCTCCCCTTCCCCCCGAGGCATTTTACCAGGCTCTAGAATGCAGGTCTCTATGTGTGCTAATAAGATGGGGCAGGAGGACAGAAGTTCAGCAATGAGTTTTTGTGTTCTGGGTCAGTCCCCGATGGAACCCCGAAGTCAGCAGGAGGCTGGGGTTTGCCCCGCCCCGGGGAATCGCTCCACATGAGGATTTCAAAGAAGACCCCTGACATCATCTGCTCTAGCTCCGGGCTCTGATTTTTCAGCCACCAACAGCCCGGGGATCGGCAGCCCTGAGGCTGCCTGGGAAGGAAAGTGGGGCCTGCGTGGGGCTGGGCTATCGGTTGACTGCGAGAGGGCTCTGCAAAGCTGGGCTGCAGCTCGAATTATCACACCAGGGTCTGCAAGCCATGTTTTCCCTTGGGAGCCAGCCCAGGGCTCAGGGAGGCGCCCGAGATGCACAGTGGGGCTTGCTGCCCTCCCAGGGAGCCCAGGGCCCCAGGCTCGAGAAGGGAACCTGAGCCAGGCTGATAACACCAGTGATGGATGCTTGGTCTACCTCCAAGGACACCAGCCACACAGCTCGGAGCCCCGGAAATGGTGTTGTATGTGTAGATCTACACTTTTCTGGGGAGAAACTCCAGGCTTTCTCAGATTCCCGAGGGGCCCTACATCTCCAGAAGATTAATGACCCCATGCTCTCAGGTTGGGAAAATATTAGCAACTATTTTTTTGAGCTCCTACTCTGTGCCAAGCACTTTGTACGTGTTCTTTTACTTACTGACCCCAAAACCTTTCTCCATTTTATACAGGAGAAAGCAGGTTCAGAGAGGCTAAGTAGCTAGGCCAAGGTCACACAGCTGGAAAGCTGAAATTCCAGCCAGGCCTGGCTGACTTGCCAACCGCAGGCTCTCCGCTGGATCTTCCAGTTCAGAGGCAGGACCCCGGGGGCAACTGCCGGGCCACTCTGCCCTCGCAGTGACTGGGGAAGCGGCCGGTGTCCCGGGCAGTGGCTGGTGTGGGGCCAGGCCTCAGGATCAGATGGGAGAGGATGTGGATTTCCTGTCTTCCACGGAGGCAGCCTGCTTGGGTTTCTACCTAAGCAGGCCACGCTTGGGGGGTGGGCGGGGAGTGCAGGAGGGGGTCATCTTTGAGCTCTGGCATCGTGCTGTCATGCTGCTCTCCAAACCCGCTGTGTCCAGGGCCACGTTCCCCGCAAGTCTGTCTAGGTTGGCATCCCCCTCCAGCCCTGCTTTGCTCCCTGTCCTGGATTTGTCTTCGGCAGTCCTGCGAAGGTCAACCAGGATGGGGAAACATCACTCCAAGCACCTGCTCCGGCCCCTATATTACCCAGAATGCTCTGCAGGGGTTCCAACAACTTCCAGGAAGTCTCACCCTGTGTCTGAGGGGGCCTGGGACCAGAGAAACCTCCAGGGGCAGGGGTGGAGGGGGGGGGGGGGTGGGTTCCAACTGAGGCTGAACCTTGGCTTTTTGTTTCCATTTCAAACCCCAGGAACCCAAATAAAAGCAACAGGAAGTGTCCCACCCCCACTGCCCTGGCCCCCGCCCCCCACCCAGCCAGGCTGCGGGGCTCTGGGGAAACAAACGGACCCTGAGAACAATTCAGACCTGGCACGGGGTATAGAACACCTTGAGGCCAGTGGCAAGGACCCGGGAACCTCATGGGGGCCGAGGCTCCGCAGGAAGGTATGACAGTTCACCTCGGTTTTTAATCTGGAATTCTGTACCCATTTCTAACAGAGAAAATGTTCACAGGCTTCGGAAGCACACGTTCGAAGAGGCCATCCATGTAGATCCTGTACCCGTCCCTCGGAGCCTCCTGCGCCCGTCCAGGCTCTTCATGCACAGACAAGCGATGTGTGTTCTTACCCCCCACTTTGGTGCACGACAGGCGACACTACCCACACAGTCCCGTACTTTATACCTAGGGCCTCTCTCCCTATCCCTTCCCGTCATTTCCTCGACAGACACGTGGGTTATTGGCAGAGACTAGCCGTGGCCCTGCGTCTCTGCAGGGCGTGCTCCCCTGGGAGGGGTTCTGCACGGGTCACCCCGCTGCACGGCCCCCGGTGCCCTCTGTCGTGGTGGCACCCACTCATGGCCCGGGCTTCCAAGGCCGACGGCCAGAACAGGCCTGGCACTCTGCTCTGGGACTTCTCCCGTGGGCCTGTCTGACCCGCAGGGCCCGTTGGCGTGTGGACGGCCAATCGCCATACCCTCTGGCCTCGATGAACCTTTGAAGTTCTAAGACCCCGTCCCCTGGGGCTGCCCTCTGCTGCAAAGAGGTAAGCATGGGTTTTGAAATGGGGGAGGCTTGTGCTGAGACCCCACCCCACCTCCTCCTGTCCAT